TGTGTGTGTGTGTGTGTGTGTGTGCGCGCGCGTGTGTGTGTGTACGCACACATGTGCACGCAGGGACACATGTGGCATGTCAATAGAGCCGAGATCAGCAGGTGCCAGGTGAGCACTCTGTAGGACACTTTGCAGGAAGCAGCCAGAACATCATCCATCTGTGGGTACGAATGTGAGCTGCAGGCCAGGGTGTGCTGCCTGGAACCTTCTGGAAGCGTCCAGGATGCATGGAGTGTAATGGAAATGTAGCTTCTCTGGTCACAGAGGCTTAGATGGCAAGCTCTGTCCAGGCTGCTGTCTTGCTATGTGATCCTATGTGCCTGCCCTCCCCAGGTACCAAACTCTGCTCATCCACGGAAGGTAAGCTGGCCAGGGAGTGCAGGGGGAGGTAGCTGGGACTTGAAGGGAGAGGTTCAGATTTGGCAAAATAGGTGAGAAAAACTAGGAATGAATGTGGGGCCTGGCTCTGGGAAACTACTAGTGAGAACCCAGACATGGATGGACAAAGATTTCAGTCATGGAGAAACTACGCAGGGATGGCCCAGTCTACTATCTCCTCTCTGCTCCGCCCAGAAAGGTCCATGCTTGCCAACAGTAAGATGGAATCGAACTTGGGCAGCAGACAAGGGAAGGAAACCAACTGGTTATTTCTTCTTCTCCCCTATAGATGCCAGGCTCGCTGGCCGGTTTTCTGCTCCTTTCCTTGAATAACGCGCCTTCACTTCAGCATTCAGGAGCTATGCAGCTCCGTCACTGACTACTTCCGACTTTTCTTATTTTATAATAATAGATGCATGACTCATGTTTTTAAAAGAAATTCCAGGAAGAACAAACAACTCACCATGACTTCTCTCTCTCTCCCCCCCTTCTTTTTTTCTCTCTCTCCCTTTCTCTTTTCCTCTTCCTCCCTCTCCTCTCTCTCTCTCTCTCTCTCTGTTGTGACAAATCCTTCTAATTCACTTTAGTAACTTTAAGAACTGCCAAGTCAGCCCGTTGCTAATTATTTCTTGTTAACCTACTGTGTGTAAAGTCAGGTTATCTGAGGATTCCTGAGCCACGCGCAGAGCGCCAAGGCCCCATGCTACATCTGCACGAGCTCACCCACACTTGAAGCACAAGAGTGTCCAGAAATGCTGCTGGCTTCCCTAAAGCCAATGGTGGATCCTTTCTTTTTGAAGAAGCAAGAGAGCTATGGCTGAGGAGTGTCTGGAATCTCCCCTCCCCCCGCCACCACCTCACAGGCCAAGCCAGCGTGGTGCCGTGAGGGCCTTGTACAGGCATGGGCAGGACAATTGAGAGGCTTCCTGCGGAAAGAGACCCAGGCTGTAGAGAGCCTGGTACAGCTGCCATGAGCAGCCTGTGGTGGGAGGGGAGGGGGGCAGATGAGAGGTTATTGATTCCAGAGGGAACTTTTCAGCCTGAACAGAGAACCAGATTTTGGCTTAGCCTTGGGAAGCCAAGAGCAGGGGGCAAGAGAAGAGAGGGACTGGGGACCGGGGAGTTATGTCTGCTATGCGGTGCCAGCTGCTGGCTTCTCCTCTGCAGGGCTACCATCTTTGTTGGAGGGGCAGCCATTGCCTTTGGAGAGGGGGAGGAAGCAGCCAGAGAGAATCCAGAGTGGATTTCTTGCTGCTCTTGAAGACAGTGTTTCTTTGAGATGACAAGAGAGGCGAATGTCCTGAATGGCGAGCCAGCGTGTGGGCTGGACGTGGCATGCTTGGAACAGGCTGTTTCAGCATCCTGTTTTAGATCGCACTGACTTCTTCCCTGAAAGGCTCAGTTCATCTCTCCACAGATAGAAGCAGCTGTCCTCACGAGTTCAGGCCCTCCCTCCTCCCCCAGCGCTCTGCAGCCACCTGTGTCCAGGTACCGCCAGGCTCCCCAGTGCCACCTCTGCTCCTCAAATCCCAGCAGTGACACCTGCCTGCCCGAGTTCAAGTTCATGGTTATGGTCTTGGCAGAGGGGCACATAAAGGCTGAGCACTCTCCTCATTTCCCCTTAACAGGTGTCATCATCTTCTCATGCCTTAGGAGACTACAGTGGGTCGCTAGAGCTGTAAGCCAGGCAAGGAAATGTTTCCTGATTCTTCTTTTGACCAAGAGGTGCATGGAAATAATCATCTCAGGAAATGAAAACAAAAACCCTCCTGAGAGGCACAGAGGAAAGGAGTTGGGGTGGTGGGGTGGCTCGTCTTCATCTGTGGGGGTTTAGGGTGGTAACGGGGCGGGGGAAGGCTTAGCAGCTTCTTTGAGATTTGAAATCTGTTCCCTCATCTGGAAACACAATTAAAGAGTAGAGGGTTCATTTTAGGAAAGTCCAATTGCTTGTTAAAAAAAAAAAAAAAAAAAAAACAACTCAGGCTAGAGACGCAGAAGCAAGAGTCAGCAAGGCCGACTCTCACATGCTCAGAAAAAGCGTACATGCCAACACCCCCAAGTCCCATGCATGCCAACCTATGACCTTAGGGAATCCGTTTAGCCTGAAAAGAAGAACCTGAAAACCGTCTAGTCACAGATGCCTGGCTACCTAAGGTGGTCCCAGGCCTGCCTGCAAAGTCCCATGGAGGTAAGAGGCTCTGGAAATGGAAGGGCAGGTCAGGCTGAGCGCTGAGCCCCGAGCCCCAGGCCTTCCTGCCTGGGTCTTGGTTACAGAAGCAGAGCCCTGCCAGCCCTCCCCTCACCGCCTGGAGGCAAATGCTTGGGCTGGGCACGGGGAGGCCGCGGTTGGGGCCAGTGCCAAACCCACAGACCTTTGTGCAGCTCACAGCCCTCTGGAGTGCTGCAACTCGAACCCTTCTCAGGCAACCAGGCAGGGAAGGGAGTGAGGCTTGGAGAGGAATCTGAAGGGGGGTGGGATGGAAGGGGGCAGCATATTGGGAGATCCAAACGCAAAACAGACGGGATTTTAATGAAAATACTTAAGCCTTTTAATGCACAAGTGATCCAAAGCCGTCTCTAGCCCGCTTGTCTAGGGGGAATTAGGAGATGTTTAAGAGATCACAGTATTAAGGATTTGTAAATAAAGCCCTGATAACACAGTATATTTATACCAGCGTGCCAATCTCTGATTATATTTCCGGTTAAAAAAAATAATAAAGTCTGGTCTTTCCTCTAATCTCTTATCTACATGCCTCCATCCCTTTAACTAAGATCAAGGAAGGCAGATCAGCACCATCACCATCACCCTCCAGCAAACCCTCATTTAACTTTGCTTTCTTTCCCTTCTTTCGGAATAAAAGTCTGTCATAAATATTTAATTAAATGGAAATCGTATTTCCATTGCTAACCACTAGCAGTTTGAAAGGCTTTTCATTTTTTTTTAAAGAAGGAAGAGTGATATGCATGTGTTTAAAACAGTCCCTATTAATTTCCAGCTATCGACCCGGTGTCTGGGGGTAGAGCCACATAGGATTCAAGGAGAGCTCCTCTGCAGAACACGGTGAAGGCAAAAGCTTAGGTTCAGAAAGATCAGCAAATGCAGTATGCGTCAAAAACACCATGGCTCAATGAAGTCACTTAGCTATTCAAAACATGTTCAGCCATCACTCAACCATTTGCGCCAAGAATGTTGGGAGGAGGGGGGGGGGGACATGAGATTTGTGCCCCATCCCAGACATCACTATTTCCCTAAACAGCAGCTTCGGGGCTCCATTTGGGTTAGACCCAGGGGTTACATCAATTTGTCCCTCTTTCCGCCCTCTCTCCTTCTCTCCCCATCTCCTGGCCTCAACTCTGCATTGCCATCCCTTTTGGAGCTTAATAAACGATCCTGCAGTGCCCGCTTCCCGACACTGCCTCAAAAGGCCTCCAGTCTTGGTTTGGGGAGCCTGTGCTCCTATGGGTGGCTCCAGCCCCCAGACACATACAGCTATATAAATGCCATCTCTCGTATTAAAGTCTGTTGCTAAATGCAGCTTCTATGACCTGCAGAGTTTGTTTTTTTTTTTTTTTAAATCCCCCTCTTTCCCGTGCTTATTAGCATGTCCTGAAAGCACATGGCTCCATTTATGACCTGATCTTCCAGCTTTTACACTGCAGGGGGCCTTCTGACCCACACAACGCACATGCCTCCACAACCCTGCAAGATCGAGGCCAACAGCTGACACCCCTACCCTGCGCCACCCCATCCCCCTCCTTCCCTGGGCCCTCCCCGCCTCCCCCCCCTACAGTGTTGACCCTCCTGGCTTCAGGATAAGACATGTCTGTCACTCTGTGTGGAAGTGACTCGGCACACAGCCCAAGCCGCAAGTGATTGCTGTTTATTAGAACTCGGGCTTGTTTCCTGCGAGAGACGCATGTATTTTTAGACTTTGTCAACGTTTAAACACACACATCCACACATGCAGCCACCGAGCGAATACGTGTGGCTCAGAGAGATTACGAAATGCTCTTGAACTCAGCTTGGGATCTTGGAATCATTAGGATTTACCAAATGAGGATTCTTAGAAACAACAGATTGCTTGCTTGCTTCCTTTTTTTTTTTTTTTTTTAAGGGAGATTTGCAGTTTGAGGATGTGTCTGGGACTTTTTGTGTGGGGAGGGGTAAGGGAAAGAGGAGGAACAATTTTGAATTCTTCATGGCAAAAAGATGAGCAGTTTGGGAGGAAGTGCCTGTTTACCCTCCTCATCGATGGTACTGCTAAATCCAAAAGCAGATGAGCCTAATGATTCCCAGGCAAGCCGAGCCCTCCATTTGACTCTTAAAGACAAAGTCTTGATATTTTGTACTATCGCATAGATTATTGCAATGAAGAGGTTGGAGGGAAAGGGGAGATGATGGAGGCCCGAGAGTGGAGTATGGGTTTTACTTATTTTTTCCCCCCTTTCCTCTGAAACAAACCCCAACCAAACCTTGATGCGTAGTGGAGGGAGTGAAGTGTAGGGGGGAGGATTGGTGGAATGTGGAGGGGACTTATTTAGAGGAGGGGAGGGAGGGGGAGCGCGGTGGGGAGGGGAGGGGCAAGGAGAGGAGGGAAAGAGGGAGGGGGGGAATCAAATACCTTCTAGGCAGCAGGTTCTCCATAATCCAGAATGGGTCATAACTTCCTCGTTCTTTTTGCTGGTTTCATTCTCGCTGACACTTTTGGTCTTGCAGACCCCCCTGGAGTAGAGCCAGTAGTCGGTTCCCACAGCTATAGTCATTAGGCTGAAGGCAGCAAAAGCACCAACAGTAGTCAAAAGCATTTGAACACCTCGGTCAAACAGCCCCATAATTCTTCATTATATAAACACCCAACCGACTTCTGGTTCTCAGGAGCTTGTGTGTGTGTGTGTGTGTGTGTGTGTGTGTGTGTGTGTGTGTGTGCAAATACTAAAAGCCAAAAAAAAAAAAATCAAAGATACTTCCACTACTAATATAATGGATCTATGTGTGAGTAAGAGACTATTGAGAGATATCAAAAAGGAGGTAAGAAAGCTCCCAAGGAGGGGGGGGATAAAAGAGTGTAAATTATAAAGATCACATGGGAAGAGAGGCTTGCCTCTTGAGATCCGAAATGGTTCCAGTTGCAGTGATGATTATTTTAAAAAAAGAAAAAAAGGAAAAAAAGAATAAAATTTAGAAAAAGAAGAAAAAAAAGAAGAAGACACCCCCACCCTCCCACCCCCAAAGTGAGACGCCTTAAGCTCTTTTCCTAAAATTCCGGTCTCCAGTTTCCATATGTGGTTGCTAATTTAGCGATCTCGGCCTCCACAGTGAATTCTCACAGCCATGGCTCGGGCCCCGGACAGTTAGCGATGGCCAGAGTCCCCTCGCTCGCCGTGCTGGGCTCTGCGGCCTGCGCCATGAAAATCCTTGGCTTTGCCAGTTCTTCGTTGGAGGGGGGCCCCCGAGGGCAGTGTGTGGGGGTGATGTGGGGCGGGGTGGGGGGGCGGGGGTCCTCGGGAGCTGTCCTTTCAGATCCGACAGCCCAGCCTCCGGCCAGCCCTGGGTCTCAGCGGCGAAGGCGCGGGGGTCTCGCCCTCCATGGCTGTGCTCGGGCGGCGGCGGCGGCGCGGGGCGGGCGCGGCGGCGGCGGCGGCGGCAGGACGAGCAGCGGCGGCGGGTATTGTTGTGTCGGCGGAGTGGGGGAGGGAGGGGGGTTTCTCCGGGCGGCTCGAGGCGGGGTTCCCTCCCCCTCGGCTCCTTCTCGCGCTCGCTCGCGCCCGCGCTCTCCCCGCAAAGCTGCTCCCCCGGAGCGAGGGATCCGGTTGTCTGCGGCTGCAGGCTGGGCCGCCGCCTCCCCCGCGCCGCGCCGCGCCGCGCGCCCCCGGCCGGGCGCCCGCCTCCCCCTGCGCGCCCTTCGCGGCCGGCCTCCGCCTACCGCATCGCCGCGGTGCTGAACTGGACAGCTCCCGGCGTCCGGCGCCCGGCTCCCGGCGCCCGGCTCCCGGCGCCGCCCGCTCGGCTCTCCGCTCCGCTCCGCTCCGCTCCGCGCGCCCGGGCTCCGGGCCCCACCGCGCCGCTCCGCGCAGGGCAGGCGGCCGGCCAGGGGGGCCGGGAGGGGCGCGGCGGCCTCCTTCCTTCCCCGGGGGAGGGGGGAACGACGGCCGGACCCGGGCGGGGCGGGGACGGGGGGGGGGCCTGGCCTCCCCTTACTCCGCTCCCTGGGGCTGAAATGGGAGCTCTCGGGGCCAGGAAGGTGTAGCCGGACGGGCGCTCGCGCTCTCGCGCTCTCTCTCTCTCCCCCTCCCTCTCCCCCTCTCCCTCCCTCCCTCCCACCCCCCCTCTGGTATTTCTTCCAGCTCTGCCTCCTTCTCATTCCGTCTCTACGTGCCCGGCGCTTCAAACACACCCTCCCCAAACCACAGTCGGCCCCCAAACTCCAGCCATGCTTTGGAAGGGTTGGACACACAGGCCCGGATGGGTAATTGCTAACGCGTCGCTCGTGGCTTTCCCACATCGTCTGTTCCACTTGGCTGGCTGACTTATTCTTTTGCTTTGAGGAGGGGATGGTGGTTTGGTTTCGTTGACTTGGTTAGAAGCTTCGGTCTCTTTTGTCTGGCTCTCTCTCTCTCTCTCTCTCTCTCTCTCTGGCAAAGGGGAATGGGGTGGGGGCTTGCATGTCACTGTCTGTGGCACTCTAGTTTTCGGTGAAATTCTACCTCTTGCTGCTCTACAAGCAGACATTTTGACAGATGAGGGGAGGAAAGGGTGTGAAAGGGTGAACGGATGGGGGCTTGGGCTGTGAGTTCTTTTTCTTCTCAAGGATAAACGTGTTTGCTCAGGGGAGAGGGGGACATGTGAGCGACTCCAAGTTTCCTCTGCCATTCACAAACTGGATCGGAAGCGAGGAAATAGAAATCTCACCGTATGAACACTAAAATCCAGAACCCCACCCCCTGTGATGGGGGGGTCACTCCCTCCTTTCTCTCTGGGCGACTTTTCCTTCCCGTGGCTCTGGATAAAAGAAGCGCATGGATTCCTGCAGCTTCTGACACATCTTCCTTCAGACCAGTTACATAGGCAAGCGAAGGAGAGATCAGGAGGTGGGTGCGGGTCAGTCTTTTGTGGTTGGGGGGGGGGGGCACCTGGAGAGAGGTGAGAATCTCCTTGGTCCGCTGGGGAGGGAGGGGGGTCAGCAATGTTTTCATCTCAACTCTTTCCTCCTGGCTTCAATATTTTGTATTGCGATCACCTGCTTGACAAATTTCTCCGAGTAGGGAGAAAAAAACCCAAGTGAAACCCAACACAGCTTCTCTGGTGAAAAGCCCACAGCCTGACTCCTCCTCCTCCTCCTCCTCACTTCTGCGTGGCTCTGCAGGTCGAGCCCGTGGAGACTTGGGGGGAGGGGGGAGAGGAATCCAAACATCTACCTGTTTGCCCAATCTTCACACAACTACCCTTTCTGTCACTCTCGCTCTGACAGGAAGGACAGCTGTGAGGGGCGCTGTGCTTCTGCTGGAAGAGGGTCCGGGATCTGCACGGCCACGGTGAAGGGCACAGGGCGTGGGCAGGCTGAGGCTCTCCTCGCTGTGGGAGTTGGCACGGGGAAGGGCTCAGCAGGCGTGGAAACACGATGGACAGGTGTCATGGCCTGTAGGATAGCTGAGAGCTGTGGGGGAGGTGGACAGACAACTTGGGTGTTGTCACATGCACCCAAGAGGCCTGCTGGGGCTGATGCCTGTCACCTTGGTTGCCTTTGACCTGACTAAGAAGGCCCAGCAGATGCTCGCTCCTCTCACCAGCCAATGCCCCTTACCAGACCCACCCTGGGACCTATTGCTCCAACCGCACAAGTGGCGGATACAGAGAAACCTCTGTCCATCCACAGAAGCTGCTGACCCCTGAGCCTCCCGGAGTGGCCCCAGTTTTAGCAGTGATTGACAAATCTTCTGGAAAGATCATCACTCAGACAAGGATGGGGTAGGGGAGGAAGGTGACTGTCATTCACTGTCAGCGTGTAGAGAGGAGAGGCTTCTGGACATGAATCAGGCCTGGGGGCACAGTGTCCCTTTCAGAATGGCAGTGCTCCCAAGGAGTTGGCTTCCCAGAACTTCCATTTACCACACCTGAGATGGAGCCTTAGCACCTGCCCACTCCTTTCTGAAACAGTTCCCAGCTGCTCCCTGCTTCCTCCTGCCTGCCATCTTCTTGAGATCCCTGTCGCTACATGAACACACGACATTATATGACTGTCACCCCCTCCCGTTGCCTCACGAAAGCTTTTGGGTCAGCAGCTGGATGGGGTTCACCGTGGTGTTTTTGGAACCCAATGCAGGAACTCAGACTGTAGCAGATGTGCCGCGAACAATGGCGGGCTGATTACAGCGAGGACTGCATGTTTTAAAATAAGTGAAGGTCTGGGCGCCGGTGGCTCACGCCTGTAATCCTAGCTACTCAGGAGGCTGAGATCTGAGGATCACAGTTCAAAGCCAGCCGGGGCAGGGAAGTAGGCTGTGAGATTCTTATCTCCGATAAACCACCAGGAAACGGGAAGTGGTACTGTGGCTCAAGTGGTAGAGTGCTCACCTGGAGCTGAAGAGCTCAGGGACAGCACCCAGGCTGAGAGTTCAAGCCCCATGACTGACAAAAAACAACAAAAAGAAAAGAAAAGAAAAAAAAAAAAAACCAGCCTGGGTAGGAAAGTCTGTGAGATTCTGTCTTATCTCCAAGTAATTAAAAGCCAGAAGTGGAGCTGTGGCTCAAGTGGTAGAGCACCAGCCATAAGGGAAAAAGCTAAAGGAGAATGTGAAATCCTGAGTTCAAGCTCCGGTACATAGGGCACAGCACATAGTAGGTCCTCAATAAAGATGGATTTCTTCTCATTTCTCCCACTTTTTCTATGTACTAGTCGCCAGCTTCTTTGTAAGTCCTGTGTGCTTCCCTCCCTTTTCTCAAACTAGTCTTACAGTGGAGCCCACCTGCAGTGCAGGCAGGGCTACCTGGGAAGAGCTGGCTTGGCACGGCCCAGGTTCGGTGCTGGTCCCCACCCCAGCCACACACACTTAGCAGCCGCTGAATGGCTGCTCTTTGGGGAGCGGCTTTGTGCGCCCTGGTTTGTTACTTGGGAAGTGCTTAGAGGAAATTAGCTGAAATGCCACGGGCCTATTTTGAGCAGCTTCTTTGATGGAGTGGAAATAACATGGGATTTGGGCACTGCCTTTCTTCAATGTCTGACCTTGGACAGTAACTTGACCTCGCTGGAAATGTGTGTCTTTATGAACCAAGCAAAGGGGACTAGGGGTAGGAGTATGAATGACCCCCCCCCCCAGGCCCGGGTGTCAGTGTTGCGTGTTGATGAGCCACGCTAACCCTGACTGGGCATCTGCATTGTGCCCGGCACTGAGCTCTGCCAGATCTGGCAGCAATCCTCTGCTCAGGCTCATCGGCAATTCCCATCCTGCAGATGAGGAAACTGAGTCCCGTAAGGGTTAAAAAGCTGACCTAAGTCTTTCTGGTGTGCAAGCAGGAGAGCAGAGTTGAGTCTAGGAGCCTGGCTTGGGAGGAGATGGTTTCACTAGACTTGAGCCTTCAGCTAGACTTGAACCTTCTAAGACTTCTCACCTGGCCGGTGTGACTGTCACTTCCCGGTGCCAGGCATGAGCACACAGATGCCATGTGTCACTGCGCAGTGAACCTGCATAGGCAGGCTCCAAAGGGTCAGACACCTGTCCCAAGGTCACGAGTCCAGTGTGTGGGGCAGTAGAGATTCCCACACTGCCCTGCTCCATGGTCTACCAGTAATGAGTCCAAAGTGGATGCGTTATGAGAACCAAGCATCTTCTTGTAT